TGATTGCTTGCCCTCTGAGTATTTCCCTCTATGATCTGTTTCTGTTGGGCTTAGGTCCCTACCCCAAATGTGGTTTTTGTCTTTAAAAGTTTTGTGCAAGTGACATTCTGGATTGTGGGTTTTTGTTACAGGGATTTACCTTGAGGTCCCAGCTTTTTAAAAAAGACCTCCAATTTGGAAAAAAAAAAAAAAAAAGAAGAAGAAAGAAAGAAAGAGTGTCTATTCTATGCCAGGAGCTTTATATGCCTTGATGTGTGTATGTGTGTGTATGTAACATGTCTAAGATTTCACTCTTTTCAACAGGTAAATGACTATTTTACTGAAAAAGAAAATAACAGTCACCTACAGTGACTTGCCTGAGCTCAGTTAGCAAGAGAGGCATGGTTTAAATCCCTATTGATGAGCCTGCACTTGTTTTACTGTATAGTAGTTCCCAGTGCCAGACTCTTGACATGATGTTCATATAGCTGATCCTCCTAAAACCTAAAGAAATGGAGACCCACAGTTGATAATTGCGCAAGTTGGAGCTGTCCTAGGTCATCCATCCAGTCACTGATGAGCTAGAATTCCAAGCCAGGTGCAGCAAACTGCACCTCTGGTGAATCAGTGTGTGCTGGCTTGTTTATACAGGCAGTTTTTGTGGGCCCAGTATATGTGGATAATGTGGTGTTTTCATAAGCAGTGTAGACAGGTCATTTGTTTGAATTCATAGATGATTCTTTTGTAGCCTCAGCTCATTTTAAAACAACAATGCATGGAGATTAATAATATGTAAGGTGGTGAGTTGGCAGTGCATACCAGAGGATTTACAAGGTGTTTATTCTCTTTCAGCTAACGATTTCACTTTTAGGAATTTAGTCTTGGGAAATAATCAGGGAGGCATAAGAATATGGTGCGAAGATTTCCATCTCAGTGTTATAGTACTATATTATTAAATACTGGAAAAATTAAAACAATTGGAATGTCTACTATAGAGATTAAACTACAGCACTCCCTACTTTGCAGAAGGATTGCTGACTCTAGCTTGCTGAGCAAAGAGTTATAACACCATAAAAAACATGGCCTCACTTTCAAAGCTTATACATATATGTATGTGGATCCTCTGACTGGTAAGAGTTATGAATGATTTCATTTTCTTCTTAGATTTTAAATATGTCTTAGAGTTTTCAAGAATGAGTTAAGTTATACTTTTATAACAACACTATGCTTAAAAAGAAGGAAGGAAAGAAGGAAGAAAGCGGGTAAGAGCTTGGACAGCTGCCTAAATCTGATTAACTTTTAAACAGTTGAAAAGACTCTGGTTCTGAGTAGTAGACGCACACCAGCCCAAACTTGTCTACCAGGTTTAGGTCATAATCCACTGGAAGCCATGACGGGAACTATTACCCAATTTCTTCTCTTGGAGCAGCAACATTTTATATCTGCTCATCACTAATTGGCATAGCAATAGAGCATACTTGGCTTTGAGCTTTAAATTCCAATCCTTGTGCTTGGATATCAGTAAGATAAAACATAAAGGTTCTTAATCAGAACTATTAATTTCCTAATGCCATATCATGCACTCTCAAGTTAATATAATATTGGCTTTTGGAAAGAGGAAATCTTACTCATTGACCAAAAAAAAAGTAGTTAAAAAATACCTTAAACTCAGTTATTTGGTTTTGCATAATTAAGATTAGCCAAAGTGTTTGATTGAATTGTGGGTATCCAGGCATGGAATCCATAAAGTCTTGTCTCAATGTCTGTGTGTAGAATTTCCTTCCTAGAGTATACTTAAAGCCAGGCACTAGTGACTCACACTGGTAATCCTAACTCCTCAGGAGGCTGAGACTTGCAAAATGCTGGTTAAAAGAGCCTTGAAGCTTGTTTGGTTTGCTTGCTTGGGTGCCACGGAGTCACACCTTCAGCCTTGCTTTTTGGTTATTTTAGCCATAGTATCTAGTGAACTTTTCTGCTCAGTCTGATTTTGAACCTCGGTGCTCCAGATTCTTGAGGAATTATTACAGGTATGAATGAGTGACCTACACCTAGCATGAAGGAATATTTTTGACACATGTTGCTCTGTGAACTTTTAACAAAAATTAATATATATTTTCAGGTTATCTGAAATTATATATGACAATGATGTTTCTTTTTTTTTTTTTTTGATCCGGTCGTGGGGCCTGAACTCTGGGCCTGGGCACTGTCCCTCAGCTCTTCAGCTTAAGGTTAGCACTCTACCACTTGAGCCACAGCACCACTTTTGGATTTTTTCTGCTTATGTGGTGCTGAGGAATTGAACCTAGGGCCTCATGCATGCAAGGCAAGCACTCTACCACTGAGCTGTCTTCCCAGCCCCTGATGTTTCTTTTTATTAGACAAAATTGTTATATAGGAAAGCTGAAAGAAAAAACTTGAAATAATCAGTAATCTTCCTGTCCCTAATTACTTTGAGCATATTCTATGTGATGAACTATGTTAGTATGTAATCATCTATACTATGTTGAAATGACCTTTTCTATCTTACAAAACATCATGAATCTCTTGTAATATTGTCAGTCACATACTTTTCTAATAGGAAATGTATTATGAAAAAGATTATGATTATTTCTGCTAAGAATGATATACAGAATGCTCTAACTGCTTCTTGGAACACATTATTTTAAACTCATGAATATCTGTAAAACAAAAAACAAAAAAAGCCCCTGGACCCTCATTAAATGCTTTCCTTGGAATTTTGTGAGATAGCTTATAAATGGGACCATCCTTGTAACTTTTGAAATAACCAAATAGTTCTGGAAAGTATAAAAACAAGTCTTAGAGCACAGCAAATTCTACTTTCTAGTAAGGACAGTGAAGCTTCCAATATGTTTCTTTTGATTTTAACTGAAATGAAGGAATTTATCTTTTGGGTTCTGCTTCTGCTTCTACATTGAAAATGGACTAAAATGGACTTACTTATCTACCTTTCAGTAATATGAAGGTTAAAGAGTTGAACATTTGTGTGTGTGTGTGTGTGTGTGTGTGTGTAGCTTTTCAGTAGGTGACACAGTCCCAATACCCTGAAGAGTATGCTTGTGTCAGCTCAGGCTGCTGTACCAACGCCTCAAACCCAGTGGCTTAAACAATAGGGAGTTCTGGAGGCTGAAATTCCTTCATCAAGGTCTGGGGTCTTTGAGAGTCCTCTTCCAGGCTTAGGAACAACTACTATCTTGCTATGTGCACATAGCCTTTCCTGTGTTCATGTGTGTAGAGGGTCTTGTTCCATTTTGGGGGCCTTGCCTGGTGACCTCTTCTCAACATAGGCACCTCCCATAGGCCTCACCTCCAAATTCCATCACAATGGGGATGTACAGGGTATGAGGCACATTTAGATTCATTCCAGAACAGTTTAGACATCCCTCTCCTATCTTTATCCCTTGCCTTCCTAGTTCTCTCACGCTCTAGAGGAGACATAAATAAGTATTTGTGTAAAATACATTGTTTTTTTTTCCTCTTTAAAATGTAAATGTTGTGGTGTATGCCTTCAAGCCAGCCCAGGTAAACAAGTCCAGGTAAACAAATCTCCAGTTAAGCAGCAAAAAGTCAGAACTGGTGCATGGCTCAAGGAATAGAGCTCCAACTGTGAGAGAAAAAGCTGAGCAAGAACATAAGAGCTAAATTCATGCTCCACATTTGGCACACACACACACACACACACACACACACACACACACACACATACACACAGAGTCATAATTGGGCTAGGAGGTATGTCATGGTAGAACACTTGCCTAGTATGCACAGGGCCCTGGGATTAATCCTCAGGACCTGTCCTCCCCATACATATACACACATGGACATGCATATACTATCCAAACTCACTTTTTCTCTTAAGTCTAGAGAATGTAGTCCATTAATTTTAAGCATTCTCTTGAACATTTTAACAAATTTGAAATCAGGGTGAGTGTTAGAATTAAATGTTCTAATTACTATGGAACACCATGGGTATATGAAGAAGCTCTATACCTTTTTTTAGTGAATGCCTATCATCCATTTATGTGAGTGTACATTTCATTATTGGTGGACATGTGAATTGTTTCCTATTTATTGCTTTTACATACAGCATTGGATGGCCTAGTACTAAATCATCATACAGGTGTGAATTCATTGTGGAATAAATCTCCCCTAGTACAAAGTCTCCTTGAGCTAAAGGATGTTTGTATTTGTAATGTTGACAGATATTAACAATCTCCCTCCCCCCAATAGGCTGTGCTGCTAACAAATGTATGAGAATGTTGTCAGAACCCTATCATCAAATTTTTGGACCTATGTCAATCTTATGGATGAGTCTTACCTCTTCATGTGCCCTTCATTTGCATTTATCTTATTGTCTGATTGGACATCATTCAATGTGTTCATAAGTTATTTGTATTCCTTTTCTAGTAAGTGTCAAGCTATTTTCTCACTGAAAATATTTTCTCACTGAGTGTTCTACACCTATATTAAGGAAAGTATTCCTTTGTCTCAAATGTGCATTATAGTTGTTTTTACCAGCCTACCATTTACCTTTTGTTTTTGCTGGCAATAGTTTTTGCCTTCCAAGGGGCTCAGTGGTAGAGTGCTTGCCTTGCATGCATGAGGCCCTGGTTTTGATTCCTCAGCACCACATATACAGGAAAAGCCAGAAGTGGTGCTGTGGCTCAAGTGGTAGAGTACTAGCCTTGAGCTGTAGAGCTGAGGGACAGGCCCAGAGTTCAGGCCCCACAACCGACCAAAAAAAAAAAAAAAAGAATATATGTAGGGCTCAAAATGGGAATGTCTTAGTGGTACAATGCTTGCCTAGCATGCATGAAACCCTGGGTTTGATTCCTCAGTATCACATAAACAGAAAAAGCCAGACGTGGTAGTGTGGCTCAAGTGGTAGAGTGCTCGCCTTGAGCAAAAAGAAGCTCAGAGACAGTGCCTAGGCCCTGAGTTCAAGCCCCAGGACCAGCACACAAACAAAAAAATATGTATATGCCCCTATATGTAGTTAAATCTTTTTATGTAAGCCTAATGGGTTTCATGACTTTCTTCTTCATTCGTGTGTGTGTGTGTGTGTGTGTGTGTATGTGTGTGTGTGTGTTTCATGACTTTCTTCTTCATTCGGGTGTGTGTGTGTGTGTGTGTTCTGGTCTTTGGGCTTGAATTTAGGGCCTGGTCACTGTCCCTGAGCTTTTTGCTCAAGACTAGTGATCTTTAAACCACAGCTCCATTTTTGGCTTTTTGGTAATTAATTGGAGATAACAGTCTCACAGACTTTCCTTCCTGGGCTGGCTTTGAACCTCAATCCTCAGATCTTAGCCTCCTGAATAGCTAGAATTATAGGCATGAGCCACTGGCACCTGGCCTGATGCCTTTCCTAAGAAGGCCTTTCTGGCTAAGTTGTTAGGTGTTTATGAAGAGAATGGAATCCGAGATTCTGGTAAATCCTGGGATGATGGGTGAGGAGCCGTCTTGCGGAGCCCTCTATTTGCTTGACTATTTTTAAAACAAGATTTCACTATGTGGCTCAGGAGTCTTCAAACTGACTCCCATGTGCTGGAATTGAAAGTACCACTGAAAGATACTGGGTCTAAGTAACATGCCATGTCCTTACAGCCATTCTGGTGCCTGGCTGAGTGGTGGGGGCTTTTCCACCCAGGTCTGAAAAGGCTAAAGATGAGATAAGCCATTCTTTGAATTGCAGATGTGATGTTGTTTAGCACCAAGAAAGCTTGCCTACAGAGAATGCTTGCTCTTGATGATTTCTAAATGGTCTGATTGCTTGCCCTCTGAGTATTTCCCTCTATGATCTGTTTCTGTTGGGCTTAGGTCCCTACCCCAAATGTGGTTTTTGTCTTTAAAAGTTTTGTGCAAGTGACATTCTGGATTGTGGGTTTTTGTTACAGGCATCTACCTGCAGTCTCCAGCTTTCTAATAAAGACTCTCAATTTGGAAAAAAAAAAAAAAAAAGAAGGCCTTTCCATATTGAGATTAATTTTTAAATCTTTTCATTGTTTTTCATTATATTTTTTCTTGTTTTTCCCTCTTACCTATTTTATGCATCAAGAATTCAATCCAGTACAATGCATTTAGTATTCGTCTTTCTATTTGAAAGTTTAGTGCCCTCAGTCATTGATTAAATCTCTATAACCAACTTTTCTTGTATGCGTCTGTGTCTATTTCTGGATTTTCCTACTTAAACATTTAAAAATTGTATAAGTTTTTATACAAATCCAGTCTTGCTATAAAATATTGTAGTCAATTTTATAGAGTAAAAAAGGTCCCTTTGCTTCCTCCCATTACCTCACTTTTATTTAGAGATAATTATTGTTACAGGTTGACTGTGTATAACTTTTGGATCTTTTGCTATGGTTTATGTAGAGATGTGTATGTATGTGTGTGTGTGTGTGTGTGTGTGTGTGTATGTGTGTGTTTTAAACATGTGCTTAAGAATTGTTATCCCCACATGAAATATGATACAAATCCCTCCCTCCACTCTCTGCCAACCCCGCAGAGTCCTCTAGTAGTCTGTATTGTTCCACCTGGTCATCTTTAAACCTCTGCTGTGTCCCCTACACTGAATGCTTCATCCACTCTTCTACATCTAGGTCCTTTCCAATTTCTCTGTAATTCTACCATGACTATCTACCTAGTAGCTTATACCTATGAGGCTCTTTTTAGTTTGTGATAAACCTCATTCTAAAATGCTTATGCAATTAACTTCATACATGGTGAATGAGAAAGAAAATTTAGACATTACTGATATATGATTGATATTTTATCACAATCCTATTTTTTCTAGATAAAATTTGATGCCGGGACTCTTCTGCTTAGTACACACCGACTGATTTGGAGAGATCAGAAAAATCATGTAAGGCACATCATCTGCTCTGGTTTCATATTTTGTTTTGTTTTATTTTATTGGGCCTTGAGCATGCTCAGCTCGTGCTTTACCATCCAGTTAAGCTACCCTTTGTTCTAGTTTTTTGTTGTTGTTGTTGGTTGTGGGGCTTGAACTCAGGGCCTGGGCGCTGTCCCTGAGCTCTTCAGCTCAAGGCTAGTGCTCAACCATGTGAACCACAGAGCCACTTCTGGTATTCTGGTGGCTAATTGGAGATTAGAGTCTCATGGACCTTCCTGCCCAGGCTGGTTTTGAACCATGATCCTCAGATCTCAGCCTCCTAAGTAGCTAGGATTACAGGCATGAGCCACCGGTGCCCAGCTTGTTCTAGTGTTTAAATCACTTATGTTTTATTTATCTACATGTTTAGTTAAGCATTTACCTTTGTTTGGTAAAGCTGTTTGGATGCAATGCAAATTTCTTTGTCAGTAGTGTGTCCCATGTAGACTCGAATGCAATCAGAGGGCAGTTAGGGTGTTATTATCCCTCATTGGACTCAGAAAAGTCTATGTCATGAATTCTGGTGACTTCTGTACTTTACACTGTAGTCAGATCCTACTCCATGCCTAAGTGTCACAGGGGAGTTATTCTCTCACCAGTTGTAAGAGGTCCTTAAAAAATGCCTATGTCCACAGAACCAACCTGCTTTCCAGATTTATTGATGAGAACCACAAGACAGGTCTGTTATGTAGTTTCTCTAGACATTGGGAAGAGCTGCCTCCATGTTACTTAGAAAAAAGAACTCTTCATAATCCAATCCCCATAATTTCTAGAGTGAGTTACATGTATGTAGAACTAATATCTTCATGCCAAGTTCCTACTTCGCATATGTGAAATCCTAAGTTCAAGCCCTAGGACTAGAGAAGAAAAGAAAAGGAGTAACAATGGCATATTTATTTAGACAGGTTATTATGATTCCAGGCTGCCCTTGAACTCACTATTCTCCTGTTTCAAACCCCTGATTTCTAGGGTTACAAGTGTGTGTGTACCACACCTGCTTTTAAACCTTGTATGTTCTCCTATGCAGCAAAATGCCAATAACAACATTGGCTTTTATTGAACTTTTCTGTAAGTTTATCTAAGGAGGTAGAGGTATAGCTCGGTATAGCTTGTATGCATCAGGTCCTAGGTTTCATCCCTGAGCTTGCCAAAAAATAAATAAATAAATAAAGGCAATAAAATGATGGTTTGTTAAAAGTGTTTTAATTATCAAGTACCTTAGAGGTTCATGGCATGCTAATGCTGTAGAACAAGGGTTTCCAATGGTGTTACAGTTCTCCTCTTGTATTGTTTCTTCCTAGGAATGCTGTATGGCCATTCCTTTGTCCCAAATTGTATTTATTGAAGAACAGGCAGCTGGAATTGGGAAGAGGTAAGGTTTATTTGTTGTAGCTCTAATTCACAAAAAATGTTTACTCTTATACTATTGCTCATGTTAAAATAACCTTTAGATTCATTCTTAAAGTATGGCTATAGTGCTAAAGTTCTCTGTAATACCCTTGGATGCTAATGAATAAATAGGTATATGTTAAAAAATATTGAGAACACTTACTTTCAATTTGTGTGTGTGTGTATGTGTGTGTTTAAATATCTATTAGGAGAACCTTAATGATATGTCAGGTCAACTTTCTTTAGTATTCTCTTTAGTTCCCAATCCCTTCATCTCCTCCCAAATATTACCATTTTTGCATTCATTTAAAGACATATTTTTTTCACTTTTTAAAATCAGAACTTCTGAACTCAAGATGCCTTTTTTATTTTGTTAGTTTTTAATTTGATGAAATGTAGTAAGTGAATAAGCTAATACAAATATGGACAAATTGACATGACTTTTAAATTTGGGAACTCTTTTAAACTTCATTTTGTACCATTATCTTGTGGGTTTTGTTTTTTTTTTTGTTTGTGTGTGTGTGCCAGTTCTGGTCTGGGCACTGTCCCTGAACTTTTTTTTAAAATATGTTTTTTATTGTAAAAATACTGTACAGAGGGGTTATAGTTACATGAGCAAGGTAATGAGTACATTTCCTAACAAGCATTGTTGCCCCCTCCTTTGTTTTTCCCTTACCATCCCTTCCCTCCCATCTCCACAACTACATTCTCCCTCCCCACCACCTAAATTGTAAAGTTCGTTTTTCGACATAGCATCTTGTACATCTCATTGTTGCAATGGGTCAACCTTTATCCCTATTTAAACAATTTGTTTTTTTCCTTCTGCTCCCCAAATTATACCAACATCAAATACAGTGAAAACAGGGATTATACCTTGGGGGAGGGACATACAAAGCAACCTTGTAATTACGTTAGAAACAATAGCAATAAAGAAAAAACCACTTATGTCCTTATCTTGGGGTTCATTTCACTTAACATCATCTTATCTGACCTTTTCTGCTTGTGTTTGTTTTGTTTTTAAGTTTTTAGTTTTTTTAATTTTTAATTATTGGTTTTCCTTTTCAGGACCTGACAGTAGGACCACGGGTTTTTAGTTTTACAAATGGCTCAGTCACCTTATAGAATAGTGAGAGCTTTGTTGCTATGCTTGATGATATATTCCAAACAGTGCTGGAGTCCTGCTCATATAGTGTATTAAAGGTATTGCCCACTGTTGTAAAGATGTTCACTATCAAGAAGTAGTAAAGAGTCCTTACAAAAACTGGTCCCAGTTCACTAACAAAAACATGCTTTCCACCGAGGAGGCCTAACTTATGATGTGTCAATTTCACAGTGATATGTAGACAACAAATAGGTCCAAACATAAAGGGAATCATTCAATAGGTACACCTATCATGTGATGCGAAAGAGAAGCCTTTAGGGTTTGGTTTGTAGCTCAGTGGTAGAGTACTTAGCAAGTACTCTACTTTAAATGTATCCAGGAAATTTTGATTGGGTTTTTTAGTTTCCCTAATCTTTATAGAAGATTGTTTGTTGAGCAGGTTGGAAAAAATGGAGGAAAACAGACTTATAAAGCTGAACAAATATGATGGTATTTTTAATAGCATAGAAGATAACTACAGTCATAAAGATAATAAGTAGCTCATGCCCAAGACAGCAGCACTTTGAGAGTTGTTTTCCCTATTGACTGAGCAGCATTTTCCAACAAAGGACACTGTAGAATGTTAGTTTTGGATAGGATTTTAATAAAATATCAGCTGGCTAGTTTTACAGATCATTTTCATGTTTTGTTTTCAAATGAGTAAAGTAGTATGCTTTGGCAGAAATCATAGACACTCCCTGTTGTCCCCATCCATCCCCATCCATCC